CCATGTGGGGCCCATATGGAAGAGGTGGGGGCCCATGTCGGCCCCATATGGGAACCATGTGGGCATGTTTGCTGGGTTGTAGCTTTATCGGTTCCCGAGATAGTTGGCAGTTTCCAAAATGTTGAAATAGTGGACATTTGACCTTTGGTGACCTCTGGTGACCTGGCCTTTGACCTGACCCAAAAAATGACCGAAGAGTCTTCCTCCTTATTTTGGACGTTCTTTCGATTGCCGCTTACCGCGTGTCGCTACGTGGCCCAGGAGCCGAGTTAGAAGGGGGGTGTTAAGACACCCCCCGGTCCGGCGCGGAATCTCAGAGCACCGGCCCGGCGTGGGCTAATTTTGGGGGTCAAAATCCCAAAACTTTGACAATACGAGACAGCAACTGTGTAGCGCCGCCTGTTGTCTACATCACCATATAAAGAACTTTGAAATTACTTGGTAACTGTAGCTTTTGTGAGCGTTTCAAAATTTCAAGTTTTTTGCTCATTTTTGCTCGAACGTGACCTCAGTTTGACCTTAACCCGGCAGGCGGTGGGCCTACCAGCCACCTTCCGCGCGGTGGGGGGGGGGGCACTTTTTTGCCCCCCCCCCGTATCTCCGAAACTACTGGACGGATCCGGAAAATTCAAACGGCGTTCGATAGCCCTGTCAAATTTGTTGAAGGAAACCAAATTTCATTGACCTCGGGGTCACCGATGACGTCACAGGTCAGGTCAAAGATAAAATGTTTCACCGTTCACGGGGCTTCTAGGGAAAGCGCTATAACACCAAGTAAAACGCATTTTGTCGAAAATCAGCGATAAGGCGTCAGTTGTCTAGTACATATGTTGCTATTAGAGGTCACTGGTCATACCAGGTCAGGTCACAGGTCAGGTCACCAAAGGTCACCAAGGGTCACCACATGAGCCCAACTTTACTAAGGTTATGCGATGCACGTTTTATGGCCAGTTTTTCATTTCCAACTCAATGGTGTTGGTTATAAGACCATCAGGTATGGTTTAGGTCACTTTCTGGTGGAGGTCAGGTCAACGTCAGGTCAAGAAAGGTCAAATTTCAAAGTTGATATTTTGCATAAAATGGGTATCAATTCGATGCAGCTCGTCACGGAGAGTCTAATGGTGGTCATTGTTTTGCGCTACAAGGTCTAGAATTGCTAAAAAATTGAGTTTGAAAATTTGACGTAATCAATTTTGAACAGTTTTTTCGCTATAACTTGGCCAAAAAAAGAGGTATCGATCTCAAATTTGGTATGTAGATAGAAGGCGGTAGGGGCTATCACATATATTCCGTTTTTTTCGAAATAATTTTTTTTTTTGATTTTTTGGCTATTATATCAAAAAATCTATTTTTTTATTTTTGAGGGTCAAAATCAAAAAAACATCGAAAAACCGAAATGGCAGTTTTGTAGCCCTTTTAGTTCTACACCTGTTATGTCTGAAACATTTTTCTGTATCTCTAAAGCTGTAGGCCTGACAGCTCTTCCCGCGAAACCTTTTTTTGGGGTCGAAAATGGCAAAAATGACGTCACTCTGACGTCATCAGCGGCCAACCTATCATAGCCTTTGTGAAAATTTTTGGTCACCATGTGCGCTAGCTGCTCCCAGGAGGGTACTGAAAGTTTGGTGACGATCGGCGCAGCGGTTCTCGAGATATATCGAAAAAACTAAGGGGGGGGGGGCAAAAAATGATCCCCCACTGCCTGGAAGGTTAAACCGCGCCCAGATGGGGGGCATTTTGCCCCCCTGTGGTTTTTCTTAAATAGCGAAAAAAACGGCGGCGCGCTGCGCCTCCAAATTTTGGGTACCTTACCGGGCATCAATTTGACACCTTCACACAAAATTTCAAGTCACAGGTCACCTCAGGTCAGGAGTTATTGAGGTCAAACTGAGGTCATGTTCGAGTAAAAATGAGCAAAAAACATGACATCTTGAAACGCTCACCAATTCTAGAGTTAAGAAGCAATTTTAAAGTTCTTTATGTGGTTGTGTAGAGAAATAACGGCGCTACAAAACTGCTATCTCGGATTTTCGAAATTTTGGGATTTTGCCCCCCAAAAATAAAAAAAATGATTTTTTTAGAAAAACTCAAAAAAATTCCAATTTTTTTTTCGAATTTCGAAAAAACCGGAATATATGTGATAGTCCCTGCGCTCTTTGATATACATACCAAATTTTAGATCGATACCTCTTTTTTTGGCCAAGTTATAGCGAAAAAAAACTGTTAAAAACTGATGACGTCAAATTTTTGAACTCAATTTTTAGCAATTCGAGACCTCATAGCGCAAAACGGAGACCACCATTGAACTCCCCGCGACGAGCTGCATCGAATCGATGCCCATTTTATGCAAAAATATCAACTTTGAAATTTGACCTAATTTGACCTGACCTTGACCTGACCTTGACCTGACCTTGACGAAAACGTAACCTAAGCTGGCCCAAAAGTCTGCCTGACCCACATAGTCGCATTTGTCATGTAAAATGGACCATAAAACATGCATCACTCGACACTTTCATATTGTGACCCCCCAGTGACCGGACCTCTATGACCTGACCTGGTATCAGTGACCTCAAATAGCAAAATATGTGTTTGAAGAACATTTCCCCATCGATGATTTTCAATGAAATGCATTTAACTCGATTTTACAACGCATTTCTTGAAATGCCTGTAAACGGTGAAAATTCGACCTTTGACCTGACCTGTGACGTCATCGGTTTGACCGAGGTCAATGAAATTGGGTCACAAGGTAGTTCCCCGTTGGGGCTATCCAACGCCGTTTACCGCTTGTCGCTATGTTGCGTGGTTCTCGAGATCTTAGGGGGGGGGCCAAAATGGCCCCCCCATCAGACCGCGTTGCTCGGCAGACCCCATCAGGGCGCGGGTTAATGAGTCCTGACCTAAGGCATGATATAAGTCCTGAAATTTCGTGTGAAGGTGTCAAATGGATGCCCGGGAAGGTACTGAAAGTTTGGCGTTTTTTTGCTATTCAGGAAAAAACACAGGGGGGGGGGCATATTGCCACCCCCCCCCCCCCCCAGCGGGGCGAGGGTTGATTACGAATAACACCGCGATCTCATCGCCATCGAATATCGATAGGCCACGACCGTTCTTTTCCACATTTCTGCCTCGCTGTGGACGACCATGGCATCCATCCATCCATCCTCCCTCTCCCTCCACCCGCCGCCCTCCCTCTCTCTCTCTCTCTCTCTCTCTCTCTCTCTCTCTCTCTCTCTCTCTCTCTCTATCTCTCTCTTTTTTTTTCTCCTTCTCCAGCGATCTGATACCGTCTCAAACCGGCTCAAACCGGCTCTGGCGACACATCTACAGACGGCACTACCAGCCCACACACATACATACATACACACACGCACACACACGCAGGCACGCATAAAGTCGTCCCACGTGGCGGTCCTGCCCGTCTAGCCGGGGCAGCGATAATGAAGACGTGTTATCGCGGGAGTAGGCGCAACCAGCGCACGTGTGAGTGATACCAACCTGAAAGCCAGTGTTTTCACTATGAGCGACTTTTAGTGCCGGTCGCTGGAACGCTGGCTTATTGATGTAGAGTTAAAAGCCAGGCTGTTTGGGAAATATGCGGTTTTGCGCAGATAACAGTGGTAATGGACAGCCTGGTAGCTACGTTGATTGCGTGGCAGCATGCTCCTGTCAATCGGCTACTTATGTGAGCGAGGTGATGCAGCATAAGTACTAGCTCTTACCAGTAATCTTGGATTTAGGCCTGGTTACCAATAACACTGCTAAGAGCAGTATGTAGTAGCTTAGGATTCCGCTACGGCTAAAGGATCTAGTTTTAGGCCTGCTGTTCATTGTAATTTTTTCCTTCTCTAAGCTGTGCATTGAGTCAGCATGGCGCTTTCGCTGGCTTCGTGCGCTATTGTTAGTTTTCACTTTTTAAGTTTTATATATGTAGGATGGGGCGGTTTAGTCCGTTGTTATCGATGGGACAGTTTAGTTCGTTGTTATGCTATGTATGATAGGGCGGTTAAGTCTGTTGTTATGCTATGTAGGTTGGGGCGGTTTAGTCCGATGTAATACCATGTAGGATGGGGCGGTTTAGTCCGATGTAATACCATGTAGGATGGGGCGGTTTAGTCCGATGTAATACCATGTAGGATGGGGCGGTTTAGTCCGATGTAATACCATGTAGGATGGGGCGGTTTAGTCCGATGTAATACCATGTAGGATGGGGCGGTTTAGTCCGATGTAATACCATGTAGGATGGGGCGGTTTAGTCCGTTGTAATGCTATGTAGGATGGGGCGGTTTAGTCCGTTGTAATGCTATGTATGATAGGGCGGTTTAGTCCGTTGTAATGCTATGTAGGATTGGGTGATTTAGTCCGTTGTTATGCTATTATAGTCACCGAATCAATCAGAAGTAAGACTCTCATGGATTTCAGTGGGTATCTTCATATCGAACAGGAGCCACTTGTCTGCGGGGGAAGATGACAGCTATCTATTGAAGGGCTAGGAGTAATTCGCTTTCCTTTAGATATTGAATGAAAATAATAGGTAGTTGGGTATCAATCGCCGCCATCTGGTACTGACAAAAACTACCGGGCAGACGGAAAAGATCACGACGCGAAACATCGCTTGATTACGACGGCGACGTGAGACGGACACGATCAGCCCTGATCAGTTAGTCATAATCACCAATTAAACTACATGTTTCAGCAATGTCACCTCATACATGGCTAATGTATATTTAGAGCCAAATTATGTTGAACACTTTTGTAAAAGCCAGCTGAACAATGCCGTTCGCCCGGACAGCTCAAATTGCCGACATTCTCCCGTCGCTCCCTCGATCACCTCGTGAATCTGTCATGACACACGTGACCCACCGGCATATCGGCGCTCCCTTTGTGCTTTTTCGTCACGTGACCGGACGGCGGCGGCCGCCGGCGGGTGTCACGTGACCTTCAGTGACGGCCGCCGGTGGTGTCACGTGACCTCCACTCTGCGGGCCGGGCGGGCGGCGGACGGCCGGAGTGGAGCGGACTAGCTTCAGTCGCATTCCAGTGCGGTGCGCCGCTGCGCCTGCTACCGTGGATAGATAGCACCCGCGTGGAGCCGCTACCGTCGGCCGATCGTGTAGACACTGTGGCTGCTGTAGCGACTGCTGTACAGCAGCAGTGCTTACATTTCCGCATCACCGTGACCGACTGCGGCTACCGCCGGCGAGGGCTACGTATAATTGGCAGACTACACAGAAAAGCTGCGATCAAACCGTCAGCTGAAGAACTTGAGCTCACACCGCCAAAACAGCAAGTGGCAGACATTCTGTGACTGAGCTCATTGGCATCAGTGGTCTGGTGGATATAATAATTGCCCAGTAACTGACGGCAGCAGCAGCAACGTTCTCACCAAAAGAAGCAAGCGGCAGTATCAGTAGCCAGTTCAGTGGGAGCAGCAGCAACAACAGAAGTAATAGCAGCTGAAGCTAGCAGCAAGGAACCCTCGGCTGCAGCAATAGCCCCAAGGAAACCAAGCAGCCACAGCAGCAGCAACGCCCACAGCAATAGAAGCAGCTGTTAGTTTCAGTAGCCAGCAGCAGCAGCAGCAGAAGCTGCAGAAGCAGCAGCTAATTTCGGCGGCAGTGATCTCCAACATTACCACACCATGCTGCGCGTGCCCACCCTGCCGCTGCGGCAGCGCTCAGCCGGCGATCTTCCCAGCATCCCCGAGAACAGCGAGTCAACGGAGCGGAGTCAGAGTCGACCGGTGCTGAGTCGGAGTCACGGAGACGTGAGTCGACTCCAGCCGCCGGCTCAGACTCACGGAGGAGCGACTCCAGAGAGCGGGGGACTGAGTCGGCCCGGCTCGGCCGAGTTCCTCTCACCAATACTGCCGGTAAGATATCTCAGTTCCTCTCGCCAATACTGCCGGTAAGAGATGGCTCAGTTTCTCACCAATACTGCCGGGAAGCTCCCTCAGCTTCTCACCAATACTGCCGGTAAGATATATCAGTTCCTCTCACCAATACTGCCGGTAAGATATCTCAGTTTCTCACCAATGCTGCCGGTAAGAGATGGCTCAGTTTCTCACCAATATTACCGGTTAGAGATGGCTCAGTTTCTCACCAATACTGCCGGTAAGACACCTCAGCTTCTCACCAATACTGTCGGTAAGACACCTCAGCTTCTCACCAATACTGTCGGTAAGACACCTCAGCTTCTCACCAATACTGTCGGTAAGACACCTCAGCTTCTCACCAATAATGCCGGTAAGACACCTCAGTTTCTCACCAATACTGCCAGGAAGATCCCTAAGCTTCTCACCAATACTGCCAGTAAGATATGGCTCAGTTTCTCACCAATACTGCTGGTAAGATCCCTCAGCTTCTCACCAATACTGCCAGCAAGATATCTCAGTTCCTCTCACCAATACTGCCGGTAAGATATCTCAGTTCCTCTCATCAATACTGCCGGTAAGATATCTCAGTTTCTCACCAATGCTGCCGGTAAGAGATGGCTCAGTTTCTCACCAATATTACCGGTTAGAGATGGCTCAGTTTCTCACCAATACTGCCGGTAAGACACCTCAGCTTCTCACCAATACTGCCGGTAAGATATCTCAGTTCCTCTCACCAATACTGCCGGTAAGACACCTCAGCTTCTCACCAATACTGCCGGTATGAGATGGCTCAGTTTCTCACCAATGCTGCCTGTAAGAGATGACGCAGTTTCTCACCAATATTGCCAATTAGAGATGGCTCAGTTTCTCACCAATATTGTCGGTTAGAGATGGTTCAGTTTCTCACCAATATTACCGGTTAGAGCTGGAACAGTTTCTCACCAATATTACCGGTAAGACACCTCAGTTTATCACAAATACTGTCGGTAAAATATGACTCAGCTTCTCACCAATACTGCCAGTAAGAGATGGCTCACGAATAGCGTAATTCAGAACACCACAAGTCAACATTTCGGGCACAGTAAGGGCAGTATTGTACGGAATTGTTGATAAACCATATGTCGTATCATATTCCACACCTCAGGCATAAGGTCTTGATATTACGTCTCTCCTCAAGTATAAGTTTTTCCCCGTCATTATTGCCCTAGTGTTTTATTGACCTTTATCTGCCTTTACATCGTCGTATACCACAGTTTGTTTTTCCGCGGCATGTCTGCTGCTTTATGCAGTTGCACCAACAGCGTCATTGTGCACGTAACGCGCCATTCTGATCGGTGACAAACGTGACAGGCTAGCAGTGCCAGATGTGAGCTTATCGGTCAACAATCGCACCTGCCGACTGCGCCAGCGGCGGTGCACATTTTCACACTGCACGCTGAGTAGGTAGTGCGGAGTGGTGAGCAGCTTGCAGACGATATGACAATGGAAAGTTAGTCGAGTAATATTATGTAGGTAATGACTAACACTGGGTTAGGTGCTTTGAAATGTAATGGTTGAAAAACTTTTACTGCTTGTTTGCACCAAGTGTTCAGGTTCAGGTTACTTTCAATTCAAGCAGTGTTTATCTGGTCTGCTGCTAAATGAGCTCTCCTCTCCTTTGTTCTTTTCCTAATCTTGTTCAATGTCTCTGCATGTGGGGTTGAATTGTCGCTATTGTTTGGTATATATGAATTACCTACTTAGGTAAAGTTCTCATAACTAGTGCAATGTGCATGTTTCAGCTTGTCCGACAATTCATTCACACAAATCTTAACTACTGTTTACTTATATGACAAAGATTCATTTCAGTTAAATTTGCCTGCCGCAGACCTAGCATCCACTTTGAGTTAGACACTCTGCAATGGCGTTACAATCCGTGTGGCAGTCAATCGGTGCGATCAGCGACACGTTTAAACATACCGACCTCTGACTTCCGATCAATGGCCTCTGACCTCTCAGCAACTGTCCTTTGACCTTTCCGTTTGCCACTGTCCTGATTTGTGATTTGTCGCTCGTTAATCTCGACAGTAAAGGAGGGCGTAAACAGCATGATTTGTAACCACCCAGTGGCAAGGGTATCAGTAACCCAGTGACAAGGGTATCAATAACCCAGTGACAAGAGTATCAGTACCATCTATGCGCATTCCGAATAGCTGACAATTTCGCAATGCAACACAAGTGTCAAATAGCAGGACAATCACTTACGTTGAACAGAGATTTAGCAGGGGTCAAGTACGACCGTATTGTTGTCAAATCCGTGCACTTTGAACAGAACACACTCGATTGCGAGGGATTGCAATGACGTGTAAAACAAAGAAACAACTACTCCGTTCGTCTAATACTCTTTTTGTTGTCCATTTTGTAATTTCTTTATTTGGTAGTGTCTGGTTACGAGCGAGCGAGCGCAGCGAGCGAAGCGAGTCTTTTCAATATAACGGAAAAATCTCAGTATGAGCGGCCCGGCCCGGCCCGGCCCGGCCTGTAACGCTTTTGAGAGGCTTATATCTCAGCAACCGCTGGACCGATTGGTCTGCGATCTTTTTTGTTGGGTAGCCCCATCCCTTTTACCCCGTAATTGACTACTTGTGATACATCTAAGTCACCGTCGTGGCACGTGCCACGTGAAAAGTCAAGGGTGTTCAAGCTGTTTTGCAAAAGTAGTGATTTTGAGAGGCCCATATCTCAGTAGCGGCTTGAGCGATTGTCTTGCGGTAATTTTTATAGGTTAGCTGCATCCCTTCTACCAAAGGTCGGATACTCTCGATGCATGTGGGTCACCCCCAGTGCACGTGCAAAATACAACAATAAGGGGTGTCAAATTTGTTCCCATTTCAGTAACTCGGTAATTACTGGGGCGATTTCGCTGAAACTTGGCATACAGGTAGGCACCCACCAGGCAATGCATTCCCATGTGTTGCGGTTAGGGTGCTACTGCACGTGCGCACGTGCAGGGGGCGTTTCCAGATCTCGAGAAAGGCTGGGCCGATTGCGCTCAAAGTTGGTACACGGTTGGGGACCGGTTAGCAGGGTGCCGTGCAAAAATTATTTTGGACCCCGTTTGCACGTGCGCACGTGCAGAATGCCGCTTCCAGATCTCAGGAACGGCTGGGCCGATTGCGTTCAAATTTGGCACACCGCTAGCGACCGGTTAGAAGGGTGCTTTGCACAAGCCCGTTGGAACTATCCTCTCGCCCTTCTGCACGTGCAGGGCTCACTCTCTCGCTCGCTCGTTCTTCGCCCAAAAGGCGTTTTACTGGTATTTACAGTCCATGCTCTTTACCATCCGCCTTTTATCTGTGAAAAGTCCGGTAGAATCAACTTGACAGCATCAACATTGAACGGTATGAGTGCACAACTACTGGGCATTCCATTCTTACTCATTCCAATACAGGCGCAGCGCTTAACCCGCGCACCGACGGGGGTCTGCGCCAACTTAGTACCGACGGGGGGGGGGGCGGATGACCGCCCCCCCTGAGATCTCGAGAACGAAGCAAGATAGCGACAAGCGGTAAACGGCATCGGATACGCACGGACAAGGTCTACAATTTTTACTAAGGTCATTTTCAGGTCAGGTCAAAGATGACGTCACAGGGGTCGAAAAAGTCAAAATGGCGGCGCTAGATATGGAGAGGGTTTTTCTCGAATAACTTTCGAAGTAGTCAAGATAGGAACAAACTAAGGGCATCATCGTGATCCTCTCGTCAATCCGCATCGAATGATATATATGTTGACCTCGAAAGGTCAAGGTCAAAGGTTGACCTCAGGTCACGTGACCTCGAGGTCATCATGTACATCATTCGATGCGTCTTGACGAGCTGAACACAATGAGACCATCCGCGCGGCTGTATCTTGTTCCTGTAAGGAGTTATTGGCAAAAAACCTTTGGTGACCTTTGATGACGTCACATGACCTTACAGCTGCCCAACAGCAAAACAGACCTCAAGGTAGTGAAGGTTGATCGTATGTGAAGTCATGTATGGTATATGGGGCCATTCCGACCCGTTTTAGTGGTAAAAACAGGGAGTTGATTTTTCCCCCATTGACTTATAATGGGGAGGTCGCGAAATTGACCTGACCTTAGGTCACCGACATCAAAATTCCGAGATATACAAATTGTAGCTACTAATGACCTAATAACATCCTGCAACTTTCAAAGGCCTCCGACATCTACTGTAGCTCTGGCACGGTGACAAAGTTGCAAAAAAGTGACTTGAGGTTGGGTCATTCAAAGTGACCTGGTGACCTGACCTTAAAAGTTAGGAGGTTCAAACTTGCACACCATGTGTAAAATTGATGAGAGAATAGTCATACCAAATTTCGCGGCGCTACGCGCCGCGGTTTTCCCGCTATCCGCGAAAAACCTCAGGGGGGGCGGATATCCGCCCCCCCCCCGTCGGTGCGCGGGTTAACACCAAGTTCTGATCATTGACTGAGTCACTGAGTTTTCCAGCTGTGTGGTTTCCATCCCTACCCTATGTAAACCACCCCGGGGCGCAGAGGAGTGATCTCCACCCGGTGTGCTACCTAGAACGATGCATTTCATTTTGTATGCAAATTTGACGACGAATATCGTTTGCACATGCAGGCTCACGTCATCACCAGGTCATAACACCAGCGGTGAATCATTTTATACACGGCGATTGTATGCTTGCCACTACCTGACGCGAATGGTTCTGGGTAAAGGTGGTAGGGGTGGGGGCAGAATGAAGGTGCTATTTTTGGGGTGGTGTTTCACCGGTGATAGCAGCACGCTGCTATCACACGTGTCAAATTGGGTTTCCATGGAGACGCAAACAAGCCCATTGCTCCAACACTACCACAAGTGTGACGTCAGCTCGCGAAATGGAATAGCAGCGTGCTGCTATCACCGGTGAACCACCACCGAGAGGAGACCCATTGCTGAAGTGAACCTCACCGCATGGGACATCATGTATCCTAGCAAATGCAGCGATCCGTGTTGTACACATACAACACATCCACAAATATAATATGATAATGGATATCAACCACTGTGTTGCTGCCCCCCCTTCCAGCTGAGAGCTGATTCCACTGCAATATCTCGCGGCGTCTTTCCCAGTGGTGTCACGAACTAGATAATCACGGTCGGTGAGGTGGCGTGGGTAACACGTAGCCACTACCTTGGTATTGCGAGCTGTCACGTTACCAGTCACCCTACCACGTACTGAGTTTGTAGCTGCTCTGTGCGGGAACATGGCGTAAAGATTCACCCTACCGCGTACTGAGTAGCAGACATGTGCATGGATCCGAGTGGTGGATCTATGATCTCAGTGGATCTCAAGGCAAATTGCAGGTTCGGATCTATGATCCCACCGAATCCGGCGTGAAAAATTTATACTGGATCTATGATCTCACAGGATCTGACGATAAACCAAGAACATGGATCTATGATCTGAGTGGATCCCCTCATGCACAATATTTGAAACCAGGTTTCCAAGTGTTGCTATGTCAATAAGTCCCATAAAACTATTTATCACATAAAATCATTAAATAAGAACGTTCGTGAATTGCAACGAGTGCTCTTTTGGGATTTCTGTGTTAACCAAAAATAAGTGATCTATGATCCCACTGGATCTCAAGCAAAAATACTAGACTCGAATATATGATCCCTACGGATCTCTCGATAAATTTTAAAGAGCTGGATCGATGATCCCGACGGATCCGAGATTAGGATCCGTGGAATCAGATCCCAGATCCATTTTGTCGGATCCATGCACATGTCTGCTGAGTAGTGAGTTTAGCTGCTATGTGCAAGAATATGTCGCCCGGTCCAGAAACTATGTAGTATGTGAGCATATGGGCTCTGGCACCGTCTTTGTCGAGTTTAACCTTCAACTCTGCATTGGTTGATGATCGTTTTATATATTCTTAATTTGACTTGCGCCTGATTTTTTTTCAACATGTAAGACATCATGAACACATTTTTTTTAAGTGATGTCATAAGAACAGCTTCGTTACTGTTGTTATTGTCTTGCTCATAGTTTGACCAGTGCAACACATGGCGCCAATGTACCGAATCAGCCCACACAAAACTGATGATCAGGCTTTCTCACTGATCATCCCTTTTGAACATAATCCCTAGTTCAACACAAACACCTCAACTTTTGGTCTATTCAAAAGGCTGTCGGTTAATGACGACTGCCTTGCAAAAGCGTCTCAGGATCAGACGCTGTCCGCTCAAGAGAGAAAACCGGGGCTGACGCACTGGCTTCCAATACGTCACGGGTCATTGGAATATTGATGGCGTCATTGGGTAACCTGTGACAGTACGAGGTCGTGCGGGAAGTCAGTGCTCGTCACCTATACCTAGTAGGTATCGGGATTCTAGAATAATTGCGTAAACGCGCTGTGAACGCCTGCCGTACTGGGATAACTATTTATGAGACAAGCTTGGATCATGCATCATGGATGCCAGGCTGTCACATCTCTCATGACAGGGAACATCTGTAGCGCTGGCTCGCAGGGCTCAGGGAAACAAACTGTACGTACAAATAGCATTGCTGCATAGCATTGTATGAATCTACATTATTCGTAGATTCCTAGCGTGTTCGAAAATGAAATGAGGGCCACAACTCACAAGTATCCTAGCGTGACGCAACATGCTAAATAAAACATGACCCTCGTGTAACGGTGCGAAGATCTCTGCCACTCGAAAGCAGTAGGTACTAAATGAATATCATGACATTGAGCTGCTCTTAAAAAAACTTCAGCTGTCTGAATTCAAACTAAGCAAACAAAGTAGAAAATGTAAAAAACATGACCTTATTTCCTCGATAATTGCCCAAACTAATGCTGTACAAATATATACTTTATTAGAAAGAATGTAATATTTCGACCACAGGTCTTTTTCAAACAGTTTCAAATGTTTGAAACTGTTTGAAAAAGACCTGTGGTCGAAATAGTTATTACATTATTTCTAGTAAAGTATATATTTGTACAGCATTAGTTTTGGCAATTATCGGGAAAATAAGGTCATGTTTTTACATGTTTTCTACTATTTATGAACATGTTCCTCGCACAAGCACTAACCTCATTAAGCAAAAAAGGCTTCAATTGTGATCTTCATTTGTTTTTGTTTTCGTTTAAGCCACATAGTGCACACTTGCCTGTGTAGACATGCAGCAGTGCATGTCCATTGTCCAGCAAGAACGAACGCAAAACTGCGATTATGCATGCCTGTTGCGACACACAGATATATTATACCGGAAGCACGTACAGCAGTTCTTCGAATCCCCCGCCGTAAGCCTGCCTTTGGACGGTGGGCCGAACTACCAGCGACGTATGCCCGACACCTTAGTTTGTATGCGTACTGCGTGTCTGCGTATCGCGCATTGCGTACGCGCTCGGCGTGGAGAGTAGCCGTTCTGAGAGCGTTCAGGGGCGGCCCTGTAACACGCATGTGTCGCCCCTGTCAGCGTGGTTGGTCCTATGCTGGGTATAAATCTGCACCGCGATGGCATTGGTGAGCCGAGCTCGCTGCAGAGAGAGGTCATCATTATGAACCGCGCAGGAGACTATTTTAGCGTGGACTATCGGGAGATTGGTGTTTTTGGAATAAAGTTCAGCGTGGGATGTTCGACTGTTGGGAGGCGCTCGGCCCACTGTCGATCTGCACTGTTCAGTGTCCACTGTCGGTCTACATTTCACTGTCGATCTGTGCTGTCCACTGCCGGTCTATAGCCCACTGTCGGTCTGCATTGTCCACTATCGGTCTATAGTCCACTGTCGATCTGCACTGTCCAGTCCACTGTCGATCTGTACTGTCCCCTGTCGATCTGCATTGTCCACTGTCGGTCTATAGTCCACTGTCGATCTGCATTGTCTCCTGTCGGTCTGCACTGTCAACTGTCCATAGTTCATTGTCATGGCGCGCCTTTGTCATGACAAGCTACAATACCTACCTCTGACGAACTGGTGTGCTAGCTAACAGCAACTTTAAACCCGCGCCCTGGTGGGGCGGGGGCTATTTTTTGCCCCCCCCCCCCTCCAGACTTTTCGATATATCTCCAGAACCGCTGCGCCGATCGTCACCAAACTTTCAGTACCCTCCCGGACATCAATTTTACACATTGTGACCAAAAATTTTTCCAAAGGCTATGATAGGTTGGCCGGAAATGACGTCAGAGTGACGTCATGTTCTGCCGTTTTCGACCCAAAAAAGGGTTTCGCGGGAAGAGCTGTCAGGCCTATAGCTTTGCAAATACAGAAAAATGATAAAGACATAAAAGCTGTAGATTGGACAGGGCTACAAAACTGGTATCTCGGATTTTTGAAATTTTTGGATTTTGAACCCCAAAAATCAAAAAATAGATTTTTTGGATATAATTATCGAAAAATCCAAAAAGTTTTTTGAATTTCGCAAAAACAGGAATATATGTGATAGTCCTTACCGCCTTCCATCCACATACCAAATTTGAGATTGATACCTCTTTTTTTGGCGAAGTTATAGCGAAAAAACTGTTCAAAATTGATGACGTCAAATTTTCAAACTCAATTTTGAGCAATTTTAGACCCCGTAGCGCAAAACAAAGACCACCATTAGATTCCCCGTGACGAGCTGCATCGAATCAATACCCATTTTATGCAAAACTATCAACTTCAAAATTTGACCTTTTTTGGCCTGACCTTGACCTGACCTTGACCTGAACTTCACCAGAAAGTGACCTAAGCCGTACCTGATAGTCTTATAACCAACACCATTGAGTTGGAAATGAAAAATTGGCCATAAAACATGTATCACACAACTTTAGTAAAGTTGGGCTCATGTGACCTGACCTGTGACCCTTGGTGACCTGACCTGTGACCTGACCTGGTATTGCCAGTGACCTCTAATAGCAACATATCTACTAGGCAACTGACGCCCTACCGCTGATTCTCGACAAAATGCGTTTTCCTCGGTGTTACAGCGCATTCCCTAGAAGACCCGTGAACGGTGAAACATTTCATCTTTGACCTGACCTGTGACGTCATCGGTGACCCCGAGGTCAATGAAATTTGGTTTCCTTCGACAAATTTGACAGGCCTTTCGAACGCCGTTTGAATTTTGCGGATCCGTCCAGTAGTTTTGGAGATACGAGGGGGGGGGGGGGGCAAAAAATAGCCCCCCCCCCCCCCACCAGGTCGCGTTATAAACAGACCCCACCAGGGCGCGGGTTAATATAATTATTTGACAGATGTGTAAAAATGCAAGTGTCAGCAAGGCCGTTCCGTCGCTCATTACGTTGTATAAAACACTTTAACTCCCTCACTCACTCACTTTAACTCCGGGGAGTTAAAGTGTTTTATACAACGTAATGAGCGACGGAACGGCCTTGCTGACACTTGCATTTTTACATAACATAACAGCAACTTGTTTACGTCGTTTCATTCGCTCATGCAGGACACCAACTCGAATCTTCTCTTTCCTTGTCCTCGTTTCACGCTTATCCCACATGAAAGTGGCATCTGTCATGTTTTCTGACAAACACCCTTTCAACTGACGTTCGAACCCTTCACTGACGTTCATGCCTTTTGTTCTCCAAGTTCGCTGATGTTGCCCCTTCACTGATGGTGCTGCTGTTGTCTGACGTAGCTGACGTCCGCCCTGTCTTCTGACGTGTTCTATCTCTTTGTTTCAGTTCGCGGAGATCCCTCCCGAGAAGGGTCTTCGCCGCTGCAGGTCCCTGCTGAGACAAGTCGCGAGAAAGGCGCGCAAAAACATTCTTCATCACAGCACGCACGACTGCTCGATACCTTCCGACTGTCGCGAACAGCTGAAACACATCTACGTCTACTGAGCGGGACGGCGTGACGTCAGTGGCTCACTGTGACGTCATTGGATCGGCAGCTGTCACGTCTTATTGGTTTGAATTGCCAGCTGTGATCAACAGACTAGGATAATAATCAAAACAAGACAGGAAGGGGAGATTCAGGCTGATTGGATTTGGAGAGACCATGACATGTGCGCGATCAGCTACATTTTTCTACGACGTCCACACATGTAATCGTATTTTGTTCTGTCTTGCATTTGTTGTGCTCGTTTCTCAGGAGTTTTGCTTGTGACAATACTCTGTGAGACTCTGACCGCGTCATCAGCGCCACACCCCCAGTGTCGCCCCCCTCCCCCTGGGCAGTATCATCGACCCCACACTGGCAGTCTCCAGCCCTCCGGGGAGCGGTCGGCCCTACAGCCCCAGTGTAGCCACCCCGCGGCCACCGGTCGGCCCGCACCACACCCCCAGTGTAGCCACCCCCGGCCTGCTCATCGGCCCCACATCCCCAGTGTCGCCGCCTCCCGGCCAGTGTAGCGGTCGGCCCTACACTGACTAGTGATGTCAATAACGGAAAATCGTGATACCGATACCAAACCAAATACCAACAATATCCATGGAAAAATACCGAAACCAAACCGACTTGGGAATATGAGAAAAATACGAACTTTTTACCATATTCTCAGCCTCTTTGACATAAGTGAGGATTCATAATACCAGCAAAATACCAAATGCACTCGCCTTGAAATACCAAATACCGAGTTGGTATCGGTTTGGTATCGGTATACCAAAAAGTTGGTCTCCGATTGACATCTCTAACACTGACAGGGTGCCGCCCCCGGCCAGTGTAGCGGTCGGTCCATTCGGCGCCCGCGTGACCCTGAAATTGGCGCGCCGGCACCCACTGCGGCGCGCTGGGACCTTCAGCGGTGTCCTGGCGGCCCATGAAGGTCTCCCAGTGGGCCCACAGTGCGCTCCGGGCGGTAGCACAACGCTGGCGTCCATATCTAGCTTCCGGAGCTGGCGGGAAGTCGGTAGGGTCTGGTGTGACGTCACTGTATGACGTTACTGTGTGTGTTACACAATGTGTGACGTCATTGGTGGTGTTTGAGTGACGTCATATAGTGTGACGGCAGTGGTGGGATTCATGTGAATGTATACTAGTGGATTCTGAAGTGTGTTGTGGACTGTAGTTGTTGCGACGGTGAATATTGATATTCAGGGAGTCATTTACATGTGAATGCTGCAGGTTCAGCTAGCAATGAACAGGGAGTGGATCTCCCCATAGAAATAGCGTGTGTTTGAGGAAGGAGAAGGACGAAAAATGTGAATTGTATGTAGACAGTGACTGAACGAGAGAGTGCATAGACTTTGTCCAATGTTAAACCAGCCAACTTGTCATTACCGTGTTGAGTGGGTCGTTGCTTCGTCAAAGCATTTTGTTGCATGCAGAAAATGGTGTCGTCTGAAAGTGGCTTGTGGTTTGCATTGTGTAATTACGTTTATACATAAGGTATTTGACAAAATATTGTTGGCTATTCTTGTACCATATCTTGTAAGGATTTATCCTTTCAAATGTCTGCTCAATTGTTTCACCTTACTCCTGTTCATTATTCCATGTAAATGCTGCTCACTACACATGTAGCACGAATGCTGATAATAGCCCCGTCCACTGTCCAGGTATTTGATAATAAAACCACAAAAATGAGGCACTGTTTTTTTAAAGCTCTGACATAATTAAGTCCTTGTAGGTAAATGGACGGCTCACTTTGGTGTCATAACTGAAAGGCGTGATTTGGTGATCGCTCCTAACCCCTACTTAACGCATTTCGGTCGCGCAGCATGTCCTCGATCTCATCTAGGCAAAAAGCTGCATTTTAAATTTGACGCGTATTAATGTGTAAAAGAATCGTTGACCTGTCCTCGAACAATTATAATCCTAGTCCTAAGTTATATTCGATCCGTTGAGTTTTCATGGATACAAGCCTTAGATAAAACCAGCAGATTGAAACGATACAAATTCAACAACATGTCAACATGTTGACAACGCGAAAAGATCTTTTCGCGTTTAGTGAACTTTTATATCGAGAGAAACTCCAACGATTCTGAGACGTGTTCCAGTAACTTGGATCGACCTAATTAGTTAATTATTATAATCGGCTGGCTTTAACATCTCGTATTGTACATACATTGAGCTAACAGCAGTTGGTGCATGCAAGAGACAGAGCGAGATTCAACCCTGCCGGACCGGTTCGGTGGCAATTATACCTACCTATTGACTTACGGCGTGTGTCCAAAGCATGATTGCGAAATACGGCCTAATTTCATTTATCAGCCACCATCCAGCTGGCACAATGGAGGGACTGTGGGCAGCGCAAATAAGATGGATGAAAAGTCTGAATAACGTGAACGGAAAGCATTGAATATTATAAGTAAGGAACCGTGATCAAGAAATGTCGAGAGACACGAAATGCTACGCTGAGAAACAAGATTCAAGAAGAGAGGAAAAGTGACTGTTTGCAGTTCGGAATTTGTGGTAAGAAACCAATAATTTTCTGTTTTCTGTCCTCATTGTCATTTGTCTCCTGTCAATTTTTCTTCTTTTTGTTTTCACTGACAATGCGTCATGCGTTTATTTTCGTTATTTTGTGTTCCTGCTATAAGAAAAGCAGTAACTGTTCTAAAGGATGTCTAAAAGCCGTACAGTTGGTCTACAAAATAGGTCACCGCCGTATGCGGGTCACCAGTGGGCAGTTAGCGCCTGAGCACTTCTCAGGCCCCACCTGCCCGCATACGGATAGGACTTATTTTGTAGACCTACGGGCTGTACGAAGTGTTTCGAAGGCTGAACACCTGTTTGCTGTTCACATATGTAATTGGCACTGTGTGATGCCTTCACCTACGAGAACGCTTGTGTGATTTTTGTCCTTGAAAACCATTGAATATTCCCAAATTACGTTAATGATCATGGCCTGAATTTGTCCCTGCCTGACCCCTCGCTTTGATGTAAGCACCTGTCCAAAGATGTCACTAGTGTCGCCGCACCGACCCGTCAGCTGATCGCTGCACTGTGCGGAGTTGGGGACCATGAACCCCACTGTCTAGGTGTCGCCACTGTCGAGACTGGCTCCCAGCCCGGGACAGGGTGCTCGTTGAACAGGAACAGGTGCTCGTTGAACAGGAACAGGTGGACGTTAAACAGGGCTGTCCGTGTACGGGTCCTGGGTGCCGGCCGAATGCGCCTCTTTGGGTGGCTGAATGAGTTCATTGGCAGTTACCCCGGGGATAACCCTTGCCGGTTTTGGTAATTTACAGCGTCTAACGAAAGGGGGGGGGTCCATAGGATCCCCCTGCCCTTCGGACCCCTAGAGTTTCGCAGAAAAAAAACGAACGTGTTGCCTGTGACTAGTGGGATCCGAAGATACTCAATAGGCTCGTCATTGGTAGATTTTCCAGGTCAGATCAGCGACCCAGAGGTCTGGAAACTCGTGGCTTGCTAGAACATCGTAAAGGAAGATTGTCATAGCGTTTTTTTCGGGGTGCTGATTGCGCATTGTATGCCTACGTAACGCGTTAGCTTTGATCAACGATGATGGCTTCATGCATTTGGGGTGGATCGGGTCAGGTCAGGCTAGGGGTCCTGCCGGTCATCCATATTCTATAGTAGATGTCAATCATCACTGAAAGCTTTGTTACATGCGCCAAACCTACTTCCGTAATGTACAAATGGGTGTTAACTGCTAAATTCTAAATCAGCTCCGACAGCTCCACAAACTACCATCTAAACGTGTGAAACTAAAAAAAAACAAGGCTATTGATTATCGAAATTCAATTACCTTGACCCAACCTTACCACCCACCACACTGCATGGGACTGATATTATTTCGCATGTTGGCACGTCTCAAAACACAAAATCCTGGAGGGATAATGTGACCCGACCCACTCTGATGTCAAGGAAGAGGCCACGGGTCAAGGGAGCTGAGATCAACGTCATGAAATTCGGAGGGTTGGTGTGAAATTGATAAGTTCGAGGATACCTACTGAAAGCTCCGTCGCAATCATGAATCAACTGTTCTTCACCCGACTAATTCTGAAAAAACGAGGAGCTCTGTATTAACCCGCGCCCTGATGGGGGGGGGGGCATTTTGGCCCCCCCCCCTGTGGTTTTTCTTAAATAGGGAGAAAACCGCGGCGCGCAGCGCCGCCAAATTTTGGGTACCTTACCGGGCATCAATTTGACACCTTCACACAAAATTTCAAGTCACAGGTCACCTCAGGTCAGGAGTTATTGAGGTCAAACTGAGGTCATGTTCGAGCAAAAATGAGCAAAAACCATGACATCTTGAAACGCTCACCAATTCTACAGTTAACAAGCAATTTTAAAGTTCTTTATGTGGTTGTGTAGAGAAAAAACGGTGCTACAAAACTGCTATCTCGGATTTTCGAAACTTTGGGATTTTGACCCCCCAAAATCAAAAAAATTGATTTTTTTAGAAAAACCCAAAAAATTTCCAAAAAATTTTCGAATTTCGTAAAAACCGGAATATATGTGATAGTCCCTGCGCTATTCGATATACATACCAAATTTTAGGTCGATACCTCTTTTTTTGGCCAAGTTATAGCGAAAAAAACTGTTAAAAATTGATGACGTCAAATTTTTTAACTCAATTTTTAGCAATTTTAGACCTCGTAGCGCAAAACGGAGACCACCATTGAACTCCCCGTGACGAGCTGCATCGAAACGATACCCATTTAATGCAAAAATATCAACTTTGAAATTTGACCTAATTTGACCTGACCTTGACCTGACCTTGACCTGACCTTGACCAAAACGTGACCTAAGCTGGCCTTAAAGTCTGTCTGACCCACATAATCGCATTTGTCATGTAAAATGGACCATAAAACATGTATCACACGACACTTTCATATTGTGACCCCCCCAGTGAGCTGACCTCTGTGACCTGACCTGGTATCAGTGACCTCAAATAGCAAAATATGTGTTTGAAGAACATTTCTCCATCGATGATTTTCAATGAAATGCATTTTACTCGATTTTACAACGCATTTCTTGAAATGCCTGTAAACGGTGAAAATTCGACCTTTGACCTGACCTGTGACGTCATCAGTTTGACCGAGGTCAATGAAATTGGGTCACAAGGTAGTTCCCCGATGGGGCTATCCAACACCGTTTACCGCTTGTCGCTATGTTGCGTGGTTCTCGAGATCTGAGGGGGGGCCAAAATGGCCCCCCCCCCATCAGACCGCGTTGCTCGGCAGACCCCATCTGGGCGCGGGTTAACCCGCGCCCCGTTGGGCTCTTCCGAGCAACGCGCCCCGTTGGGGGGGGGGGGGCATTTTGCCCCCCCCCCCAAGATCTCGAGAACCACGCAACCTAACGAAGAGGCAAACGGTGTTGGATAGCCCTATTAGGGAACTAGCTTGTGACCCAATTTCATTGACCCAGGTCAAACCGATGACGTCACAGGTCAGGTCAAAGGTCCAATTTTCACCGTTTACAGGCATTTCAAGAAATGCGTTGTAAAATCGAGTAAAATGCATTTCATTGAAAATCATCGATGGGGAAATGTTATTCAAACACATATTTTGCTATTTGAGGTCACTGATACCAGATCAGGTCACAGAGGTCAGGTCACTGGGGGGTCACAATATGAAAGTGTCGTGTGATACATGTTTTATGGTCCATTTTACATGACAAATGCGATTATGTGGGTCAGGCACCCTTTGGGGCCAGCTTAGGTCACGTTTTGGTCAAGGTCAGGTCAAGGTCAGGTCAAGGTCAGGTCAAGGTCAGGTAAAGGTCAGGTCAAGGTCAGGTCAAGGTCAGGCCAAGGTCAGGTCAAGGTCAGGTCAAGGTCAAATCAAATTAGGTCAAATTTCAAAAATAATATTTTTTGCATAAAATGGGTGTCGAATCGATGCAGCTCGTCACGGGGAGTTCAATGGTGGTCTTTGTTTTGCCGTACGTGGTCTAGAATCGCTAAAAATTGAGTTCAAAATTCGACGTCATCATTTTTGAACAGTTTTTTTTTTTCGCTGTAACTTGGCCAAAAAACGAGATATCGATCTGAAATTTGGTATGTATATAGAAGAGCGCAGGGACTATCACTTATATTCCGGTTTTTCGAAATTCGGAAAAATTTCAGATTTTTTTTTAGTTTTTCTAAAAGAATCAATTTTTTGATTTTTTTTTGGTCAAAAACCCAAACTTTTGAAAATCCGAGACAGCAGTTTTGTAGCGCCGCTTTTTGTCTACTAGACCACATAAAGAACTTTGAAATTGCTTGATAACTGTAGATTTGGTGAGCGTTTCAAGATTGCATGTTTTTTTCTCATTTTTGCTCGAACATGACCTCAGTTTGACCTCAATAACTCCTGACCTAAGGTGACCTAAGACTGAAAATTTAGTGTGAAGGTGTCAAATTGATGCCCGGGAAGGTACTGAGAATTTGGCGGCGCTACGCGCCGCCGTTTTCTTGCTATTCAGGAAAAACCACAGGGGCGGGGGTCAAAAATGCCCCACCCCAACGGGGCGAGACTCTATATTATTACGAGGGAAATACAAACATCTATACAAATGATTCCAATGTCGCACATGTCGTTTAGGAGACTGTTTGCGCGACTGTTTAACCCGCGCACCGACGGGGGTCTGCGCCAACTTCGTACCGACAGGGGGGGGCGGATGACCGCC